ACAATGTGAGGCCACCAAGGAGTCCTAAGCAAGGAAATTAACACCTTCCTTGAACTGCTCGTAGCTTGTAGTTTCCATGCCTGCTGTCACTTACTCATTGCATCCATATGGTGGAGGCTAGGATAACTTTGTGTTCTGATCTTTGTAAACTCTAAGTAAAATAAATGTGGAACACATAATTAAATTGACTAAATAATTGATTATTTAAAACAGCTATAATTGTAGGGCTCCATTAGTTCAACTACTCTCCAACTTTAATGTGCCTGTAAATCTCCTGGGGGATCTTATTAAAATGTTGATTCGGATGCAGCAGGTCTGGTATAGTCTGGAACTCTGCATTCCTAATAAGCTCCTTGCCATAGTTTATACTTTAAGTAGTGAGTGTTAATTGCATGAAACATGAACGAGAAATCATTGCATGTAACATGTTTTCAGCTGCATGAAAGAGATAATGTGGGTACCAAACAACCAGAGGTGCAGTGATGTCATTCAGGCCCCATCCTGTCTTCCGGTCTTGTCTTCCCCTGTCCTGGTGGCAGCTACAGTTCCAGGAATCACTTCCAAACACTATGAAGGCTAGAAGGAGAAAGATGCTGTCTATACCTATGTGAATCTTTTTCAGGAGAAACAACGTCTTTTCCAGAGGTCCTCCAAGGCCTTTCCCTAATGTCTCTGTGGCCAGAATTGAGCACATATCCAACCCACAAGGTGGGATAGGGGATTGGAAATTCCATGATTGGCCTAGATTAATCAGGACCTACTGCCAGAACTGAGGTAGAAACTTGAGTAAAGCTGGGGTTCTGTTTAAAGAAAGTAGAAGTAAGCAACCAGCAGTATCCGCTACACTAAAATATGCAATTTGGTTAATTGTTTATATAGACACCAATGTATCTATATGTAAGAGAGAAATGGCCAATTTTTCTATGGAAAAAATTAAGCACAATTTTAACAGTGTTATCCAATACCAATCTACAAGTATACGGAAGCAATCACAGCTTGCGCTGCAGTGGAATGTCTGGGAGTATGGGAAACATAGTACTTGTTATTCTGAAATCTACAATCTTATGGAATGAAACAAAATTGCTAATACAATTTAGGCTATATGCAACAGTTTCTGAGTAATTAATATGGACAAAGAACTGAGTCAAGGGCTGTGGGAGATCCAAAGATAAGGTATAGTTCCCTCTCCTAAGAATTTTGCAGTTTAAGACACCTGCAAAAATAACAATGTATGCAATATATGAAGAGATAAAGATGATGAAACAGTGTTATGAAGGCCAGAGGAGAAAGAGTCCTTCTGGCCTGGAGGTTTGGAAGAGGGTGGACAGGAGACCTTATCTAGCGCTAGTCTTGAAATGTAGTGAGGAACAACAGTGAAATGGGGTGAGCCATTTACTGGAGAGTTTTAATAAATCAGATGGTGGAGGGAGGGAATGGAGCAAGAGAAGATAGAAAAATGAGCAGTTCCAGTGGGAAGATGGATACACACATCTAGTACAAGAGATGATGTGGGAATGGCAGTTATCCCCATCATCGGACTCTTATTGTAATCTCTTACCAACACAAAGCCACAAACAGTAACAAGTGAGCATCAAAGCCTACAAGGAGGGAGCAAGACAAGGACAGCTTCTGGGAAGAGAGAAGCCTGAGCTATCTGTGCAAAGGATAATGTTATGGATGAACAGAAGAGAGTGGACAGGGCAAGGGGGGAGGGTGATGCCCTGTTTCATGTTATTCAGTATGAATAACCTCGAACCATCAGTATCAAGCACTATATGTTTTGTCAATGAACAAACCGCAACAACAGAAAAAGATGGAGGGGGACATATCGACCTAAAAGACATATCGATCTATTCCAATGTGTGGATTTTATTTTAGTTCTGATCCAAACTGGAAAACTCTTTAAAAATATTTTCTGCATTTGTGAGACAATTTGAGTACTAGATATTTGAAGATGTTAAGAAGGTATTGTAATTTTAAAGGCACTAGTACTGTGTTTCGTGTTTTTTAAGCAGAGAATCTTTATCTTTTGAAAGTATATTCTGAAATATTTATGGTTGAAATGATGTCTGGGATTTTCTTCAAAATAATGCAGGGAGTGAGGAAAAGGAAGAGATGAAACAAGATTGACTGTGAGCTGATCATTACTGCAGCTGAGTGTAGGAGGTCCATTATGCCACTTCCCCTACCTCAGTTTGAAATCTGGGTAACGCCTGGGGCTCAGTGAGTAGGGCGCTGGCCCCATATACCGAGGATGGCGGGTTCAAACCCAGCCCTGGCCAAACCGCAACAACAACAAAAAGATAGCCTGGCGTTGTGGCGGGCACCCGTAGTCCCAGCTACTCAGGGCTGAGGCAAGAGAATCGCCTAAGCCCAAGAGCTGAAGGTTGCTGTGAGCTGTGACGCTACAGCACTCTACCCGGGGCGACAACAACAAAAAATTTTACTGTAATAGAAAAGGGGCTCGGCGCCTGTGGCTCAAGCGGCTAAGGCGCCAGCCACATACACCTAAGGTGGCGGGTTCGAATCCAGCCTGGGCCCGCCAAACA